AAAATAAAAGGTCAATGGACACCCTAGACATAGAAACTGGATCTCTTCACCTAAGTCAAGTGTCGAGATTCACGTCAAATGAAAAAGGGAATGCCAAAGACACTCACCTAACACTTAGTAACCGGGTCTCTTCACCTAAGGCAAGTGTCGAGATTCGCGTCATGATAAGAAGAATGCATGTCTAATTTTAAAAATCAATCTCAGCTTATCAAGACAGTCTGCAAATGGAAGGCTAAATAAGATTTTTAAGCCAAGTTTCTGTAATATTCAAAGTAAGAGAGTTTTACCCCTTAAGCCCAATATCGATTTATACGGAGTTTGAGGATGCTGGAATCAGAATGCTTGACTAATTCTGTTAGGGAAGATCTTGAGATGGGAAAGATCTCTATGATCAGTGTAATTTTAAGGTTGCATTGCTAAGAGACTAGCAATGTTTAAGTTGGAGGGTGTGATAACTCTGCATTTTGATGCCTTAAGGGCATCAATTCAGAGGTATCTTCGGCCTTAGAATAGTCAAGATGTGCCCTTTTCCTAGTTAAATGCAATGTTGTGGCCACTAAGGGTCTCTGTGCAAATTCTGGGGAAAACAAGGAAGTTTTCATGGCTAAAATGCATATTTTGGGAAGTTGGTGTGAAGTCCAGCTGAGAGAGGAGGTGTTTTTGTGAAAAACTGAAAGCAGGAGGGCGCCTCCTAGTTGCTAAACCCAGTTTGGCGCCCCTCCTACTGTATTATCATGCTCCCCATGCCTTAGGAAACCCTAGGGCGCCTTCTAACTCATTCTTTTCATCCTTAACAAATCCTAACCGCCCCTAACTGCTAAATCCTCACCTTCCATCCCTTCTAATCTCCACCATCCATTCTAAGGCACTCTCTTTTTAGCATTCTAACCCTAGGGAGCACCCTAGAAACATCCTAACCCTTCATTCTAAACCCTAGGGCACCCATATTTTTGCTAAAACCTAGATACCACCCCCCTCTTTCTYTCTAATTCCAGTTATATCCACCATTCTAAATAAAAAGGACCCCAAGGGCCCTGGAGAAGGGGTTGGTCAATTCACCCAGGTAAGAAAAATGATGATCTTGAGAAGTTCAAGGGTAGAGGAAGAGGAGGACGCCTGAGCAAGAGGAGGGGTTCCTACTTGCAGTTCGCCAACACCACTATTGCCACCTCTAGATTTGAATCCCAACCATTTTTTCTTCAGTTTTAGAATTACTTTTTGTTCTTTAATTTTCAGTTTATTTTTCCTTTCTACTAATTTTACTTTTATTAGATTTAATTTGTACTTTATTTCTTTTCTACAGATCTGAAATTCGGCCAGGTAAGACGGAAGGCCTAGCTCGAGAAGTTCTAGGGTCGAAGGAGAGATCCGGAGACTGCTACCTCTAATCGGATTCTCAGACATTTTTATTTCGTTCCTTTTATTTATTTGTTTCTGTTATTTATTTTTATGCACATGTTATTCTCAGTGCTGTTTGAATTTGGTTTTACTGAATTCCATTTTTCTTTTTAATTAATTAATTTTATATTTCTACAACTCACCTTTGTGTTCTCTTTCCCGGATCTAAGTACATAATTATTTTTCCATTGCTTCCCTGTGGATACAACCCGTTCTCACCCATTTACTGCATTTATATTTTTGTGAGAAACGGTAAATTTATAAATATTAAAGCTGGTGTTCCGAAATGGCTAACGACATGCTTCCGAACACACCAGTGGATACCTCTATTAAGAAACATTAAATAACAAAAAATACAAGAAATTTAATAGATGGTAGAAAAATAGAAAAATGTAAGAAAATAGAGAAAACAAAAACACTAAAAATGTAAAAAAAAAAGGAAAGCTGAAAAATGAAAAAGACCCTTTTCCTCTAACTTGCCATTCAAGGGCGATTTGGTTATAAAAGTGTTATTTATGCTGACATGGGCACCTCTGTTAAGAAACATTAACGTTGCACCAATGGAAGGTGAGTTTTGGAAAATAAAAAATTACTAACATGGTGAATTTTAGACGTTTTGAAAAGTTGTGGTGAGCTTAGAGTTTAATATAAATGCTGAAAACTCATGGTGAGTTTTAGACAATTTCCCTTAAAAATATAAAAAGTAATCATTATCATCAATAAATCTAATAAATCTATAGACTATTATCATGTCACTAATAAAGCTTTACACTATTATCAATATATTATATTACTAAAGAAATAGAGAGAAAGAATTATTATATTATTAAAGAGAGATAATTAGAGTGTATTAATGAGAGAGAGATGTTATATTATTAAAGAGAGAGAAATATTACATTATTAGAGAGAGAGAAATATAATATTATTAGAGAGAGAGAATTAAGAGTGTGTTAATGAGAGATAGAGAGACGTTGGATAGTTTATTAGGCCCCCTAGGGAATGGAATGAGAGAGAGAGAGAGAGAGAGAGATTTGGGTATTTTAGGCCTCCCTAGAGATGGAATTCCTATTCATGAGTTTTAAAGAAACTCATGACAAATGTATTAATAAATTAATAATAATGTATAAATATATGAATTTTTAAATATAATAATATCTGAAAGTTTAATGGGCTTTTGTTACAAATGAAAGTTTAGTAAGATAAAAGGAGTCATGTCACGACAACAATTAGGGCCTCTTCATTTTCTTGAAGTCTGACATGTGAAAGTGCAATAATTACATTAAGGGGCATTCTTTTTTTGGATTTTGAGAGGGGGAAAGTTAGTCAAWGGGATTTTGGTTCCCATTGACCAAGAATCCCATGTTCTTTTTTTAGTTTTGTATGGGGATCAAGAAAAGTTTTCCTATGTATCACTTACCTAGGTAAATGATACTCATCTCCTAGGTGGGTAAATATAGGGGAAAAGTTATCAACACTTGAATGGGACAAAAATACCCCTTTTAATAATAGAATTTTATGGATAAAATGGTCATTGCCTTATTTACATGAGAAATAAAAGAACATGGGTAAATGCATTTATCTAGGTAAATATTTCCTAGGAAAAACTTACCCAGGAACTACATTTACCCAGATAAGTAACTTACCGAAAAGCGAACGAGGCCTAAGAGGTATATTGGTATTGATGAACTTTTCTTTCCTTTGAACTCTGAATGCAGAGAATGTTGTTTTGATTTTGAATTTGAATTCTGAAAATTATCAAATATCCATTTTGACCTCATATATGAGAGYTTTTGTTTGTCTTTTTRGGGGTATCATTGGAAAACAAAAAGTTGTAGTATTGCACTTTAAGAGATAAGAGGAAACGAACAACCATTTTTCTCTTAAAATTAAAAGATTCCTCTTAAGAGATAAGAATTAAGAAAAAACAAATAGACCCTTAGTGAAATGATGAAGAAAAGAAATACAAATACTACCAAGAAAAACCCTTTTATTCATGATTTGAGACAGAAATTTTATGGCTTCATGTCGGCCCCTTTACTAATCGAAGGCCAATTGAAGAAAAATTCCCAATCATCCGTAYCCCTATTGTAAGAATAAAGGCCATCTTCCCTGATTGCCCAGACACAGAAACTGCTGCATCGATATATATCCCTTCTTGCATGGTATATTTCGAAGCTACCGCTTACAGTAGACCCTCCTGTCCTTGTCCAATCCATCCCACACCAGTAGAGTGTGCTGCTGAAAAGGTTGTCATGAAAACCCCAAGTGTAGTTCTGATTATAACCGATGAAGTGATCACCCAAATCGTCATCCTTCGATTTGCAGTGAACGTGGAGGTTCTTCCCAGGCTCCAACATGTTGATCAACGACACATGAATTTCTTTGTARTAAAGTCCTGATACCAGCATTGATGAATGGCTCAAACTGAGCGCTATCATCGCAATGGCTACCACATGCATCAAACCCATTTCGGATCTCTTTGGTATGTTGTTGATGTTGTTCAACGTTGGTAACTTGGTATATATAATATATATAATATAGCCGATGAGACAAATTAATTAATGGTGGGAGGAAAGAACGTCCACAAGATAGGAACGTAAAGGTGCCAATTAACTAAGTTGGTAAGGTCTCGCTGGATATGGCTGAGACTTGGAATGAATCTTTTCTTAAATTGACATAATTACAATTTTAGGGGATGTTAGTTTTTCCTTGATGCTTAGTTTGGAAGGAGTACAAATACAAATATGTACAGTATAAATACATACAAAATAATACAAAATACAAGGTTTGACAGAAAGATACATATTTGTATTTGTACTCCTTCTAAATTAAGTGTGAGGAACAGGCTGTGTACTGTGCATATATATGAATGTACTCATTGATTCCTGGTACAGATTACCCAAATATGTTTCATGTAAACGTCCACAAGATAGTAACATAAATGTGCCAATTATCTCAGTTGGTAAGGTCTCTGGCTGGACATGGCTGATAAATATGTGAACACATTTGCTGTGACTGTGGTTGTGCAGTTTGCAATAACCCCGGCCCCTGCCCTATTAGATTTTAGAGAAGGCTAAAAAGAATGCATTGCTTAAATATGGTAATTACATCATATTTATAGGCTAAAACAGGTCAAACATATTCAAAGTCAAACTCAAACTCTTAGAATATATCTAGTACTCTATGTAGTCTATCTTAATCCATTTCAAATTCTATTTTACTGAGAACTCCTAGTGTAATTCTATTCAAAATCACCCTTACAATAACAACACATACACCAAACCTTATCTTAATTCCCTAACACACCCAAACTGGTGATGAGCCATGGAAATTTATAAGACAATGTGAACTGCTTTTTCATTTCCATTGATGGGTGTATTCATCGGGAGATGTTCCCAATACACGGCGGTAATGTGCTGTGGGATGTTGTGGGGTGCAGATCTGAACTCGCAGATGTGTGTTTGATTAAGATTTTCCATTGCACTTTCTTAGGTTATCCCTCTTCTTTCTTCTCCTCCTTCACACCTCTATTGGTAGTATGGTCTTCTACTTTTTTTTTCCTTTTTTGGGAGCCATTACTCTTTTAACGTAAAGTGGCATTAATTTAAAAGATTCCTAACATTGACATCAATTAAAGGTGAAGCTACTTTCCAAAGAAAGATTTTTGGGAGAATGACTGATCAGTCCAGCTCAGATTTTTTTAGCCCCACCGTACAGTGAAGATGAATCCTGACCGTGGATTGATGCCAAATCCATGGGGGCTCCTAGTAGACTATGGGAGGCTGATTTCAGAATTCTGCATTGGGTTGCAGTGTACTTAACCCATTTGCAATGAAGACCCCTTAAATTTTCAAATTCCAACAAGACCCCCTCTTCGTTAAGTTGAGTAAGGGTGAGCATTATACGGTTAAAATCAAAAAATCAAAGCGAAAATTTCAGCTTTGACTTTTTTGGTTTTTTTTTTTAGGTTTTGGTTAATTCACTTTGGTTAGTTCATTTTTGAAGATTTCAGTTTCCATTTTGGTTTTTAGAATTAGAAATTCAAATAACCAACCTTTTGCTATATAATATGTAATATATATAATATATAATACATAATGTATAATCTATAAGATATATCATGTTAAAATATAATATATTATAATATTATATGTTATAACTTTTATATAATATAGTAATATATTATTGAAATTTGGTTTTAACTGAAATAACTGAAAGCCTAATCTAAATTTTTGGTTTTGGTTATTTTGGTTTTTCTTTATTTCAATTTTGATTCAGTTTTCATTTTTTAAGTTCAATTTTTTAAATTTTGATTTATTCAGCTTGGTTTTAAACCAAATGCTCACACCTAAAGTTGAGTGATGCAAAAATATGGGCTACCACCATCTACTTTGTGGTTAGTGACACAACTCTCTTGATTGACGAAAAAAGTTAATTTACTAATATGTCCTTTCAAGATTCATATATAGCTAAAAGGATGAAATTTCAAAATACAAAAATGAAAAGGGCAAAGCGCATTATCTCTTTTTCCACCCACTTTGGATGAGAAAGAAGAAGAAACGAAACCTAAGTAGAGGGTTTACATAAATATGTGAGAGAAATGAGAAAATGGTCCCAAAAAAATAAGAAAAGGGTAGTTTGAGGATTTAGAAGTGTTTAATAGGTACATAAAAGTCAAATAAGGGCTTGATTCGTTTGCAGGAATAGGGGTCTAGAATTTGAATCGGAATGGGCCATTCCAATTCCAACTATTTGGTTGGATGGAATCAGATCAAATCCCATTCCCATTCTGAGTGGAATGACATTCCTCCATTCAAGGGAATGGTCATTCCCTCCCCCACCCTTTTGAATGAAATACCATTCCAATTGATTCCATTTCCATTTTAATTCCTATATGAACCAAACAAACTATGGAAATAGACCATTCCAGTTCCGATTCTCGGAGATTTCGATTCTAAATGCAAATCAAATGGACTAAGAATTAATCTTATTTTAATTGATTGACAATATACTAAGAGAAGGGGCAAAGTGTTGGAATTTGAAAGTTCAGGGTGTCTTTGTTGCAAATGAAAGTTTAGGGGGTTAAGTGCCACCACCCCTAAAATATAGGGTGTTAATTTGTAGTTTACCCAAAAATTAATTTACCAACATAATGACTCGAGAAACTTCTATAAAATGGAAGTTTCAATAAAAAAAAAACGAAGAAAGCTCTATAAAATAAAAACCTAGAATTACAACAAACACAACATGCAATTAATACTAATTAAAGCCATAACAAATGAAAATTGAAAAAAAAATGCTAAACAGAACCTCAAAAATTGTTTTAAAAATTATTAGAAAAAAAGGATAGTTTGGGAAATTAGAAAATTTAAACAATCACATGAGAATCTTTTTCAAAGTCAACTGACAGAATACTAAAAAAGAGAGCTTGTTGGAATCTAAAAGTTTAATGGGCTTTTGTTACAAATGAAAGTTCATGCAGAGGGGCCCTACTTGGAAGGGGCTGGAATGGAATCGTTGACCTGTTGACCCGTTGACCCAGTCCTTAGCCAAAAATCGTTGAATCGATCAATCACCCGTTGACCTAAGTAGTCGAACCATTGACCTGTTGACTTGTTTAATGATTTTTGGTTGTTTTTTATTTTTTTTAATCGGCCATCCAGTCAATCGATTCTGTTTTATCCTAATCTTGGTTCGTAGCCAAAAATCGTTGAATTGGTCAACGATCCATTGACTCGGGTGGTCGAACCGTTGACCTGTTCAATGGTTTTTGGTTTTTTTTTATTTTTTTTATTTTTATTATGAGAATGGGCCATCCGTTTAAACTGAATGGTTCTATTTTTGGGTTGTATGAGTCACACGCTTGAATGACATAACATGTATGATATTGCTCAATGAACCTTACACACTCAATTTTTTGCCTGTAACCTTTGTTGTCAAAACAGATTGTCCGTTCGAACTGGATGATCGAACTGCTAACTTGAAAATTGGTGGCCAAAACGGTTCCATAAATTTTTGCTTATAATTTTTTGTTGTTAGAATGGGTCATCCATTCGAACCAAACGACCAAACCGTCGATCCAAAAACAGGTGGCCAGAACGATTGCGTTTTTGGTTCGTATGAGTCACACGCTCAAATGACATAACACGTATGATACTACTTAATGGACCTCAAAAACTCAATTTTTTGCCTATAATTTTTGTTGTCAGAACAGATTGTCCATTCGAACTAGATGATTGAATTGTCGACCCGAAAACCGGTGGCCAGAATGGCTCCATAATTTTTTACTTGTAATTTTTGTTGTCAGAATGGGCCATCCCTTCGAACTGAACGTCAAACCGTCGGTTGTTAAAACGTTATTAACAATATTTATCAATAATAGTAAGTAATTATACTATTTAATTAAATAATCATTAATGATAGTTTTAATAATATTATTTAGTTATCTTTAATATAACAGTAATTATTAAATTTATGAATAGGATTTATTAACAATATTCATTAAATTAATAATTACCAAAATTAAATTAAATTAACAGTATGTATTTATTAATAATAGTTAGTAATTATAATATTTTATTAAATAATCAATAACAATACTTTTAATAACATTTTTAATTATTTTGAATATAAAAATAATTACTATATTTATTAACAGTATTTATAATTTTAATTTAAAGTAAGATTTAAGTAAATATCTATTTATTAATAAAATTTATAATAACAGTAATTATTAATTATATAGTTATTAAATTACTGTAATAATCAGTAATTATTATTACAGTAATTATATTATTACAGTACTTAATTAATTATTATTATTAATTACTGGAAATGGGTGCTGGCACGTGGGATCTATTTGCACGACTAAATTCCATTTCCTGAGTGCAGAGAGCACCCATATCCTTTTAATATATATAAGATAAGATAATTTACCCTTTTGGCTCGGTGTAACAGTACAAAATCATGTATTTTGTATTATTTTGTATGCATTTATAATGTATATATTTGTATTTGATACTCTCTCTCCAAATTGAGCCTTTTTTGTAAAAACCTTTTTAAGATTGTTTTGACAAAATACCAAATTTGGCGTTTTTAATACCAAAATTTTAAGTCCAGTGAGAAAAGATGAGCATGAACCCAGCATCCAATTAATAGTTTGCAATAAAGGACGATATATGATTAATTGCTTAGCATCTTAATTAAAAGTTCAAACCCAATATTATAAAATAATAATAATTAACAAGCACTAAACCTAAAGCTGGTCAGGAATCCCAAGATGAAGCTTTGAGAAGTAAAAGGGGACATGTCACGAACCACAACTAGTGAAATTAATGAAGAAGAAAAGAAATACAAACACAACCAAATTAAGAACTATGCTTCCATCAAACCTTCAAACTAAATTTAAATTAAACAATTGCAGGGAAAAAGATAAACCCTTTTATTCATGGTTTCTACAGACAAGAAA